GCACAAAATCATATGGTGAATAATATGTGTACAAATTTTCAGACAAATGCTTCCAATAGTTTCTGAGTAATGGTCCGGACAAAGTCTCGTCTACAGACAGACGGACGGACGGACAGACAGACGGACATGGTGATTCCAATATACCCCCCCCCTAAACTTCGTTTGCGGGGGGTATAATAACTGTGTTTTCAATTTTGAAAAATAACCGGCACTGCACTTTGTGTATTCCAAGATGTCTGCCGTCCTCTCGTCGGCTGTTGCTAAGCATATTCATGCGCGTATCACAGTTAACTTGTAAATTTAAATTTTATGTAAAAATAAATGATTCCTATCATTAAAGATTGAATTATTTATCTTTTAATTAATTTATAAGGAATGACTCTAATTCTTGGCCATATTATCGAGTATAATCTGGTTTGGGTCAGTTTACGCTTTTTTATAATCCGCGAAGTTATATAAGTTTTATAATCATCGATAATACGGCCAAGAATTGGAGTCATTCCTTAAATGTTTCTATCATGTGTGACCCAGCTTAACTATGTATTTCTGTGCAATTGCTTCTATCCACATTGTGTGAACCTTTATCTGAACTCTGGATTGATAGTAAATTCCATAGTAAAAAAAATATGCATTCAAGCAAGACTTCCCAATTCTATTGGTTCAGTTTTGATACGTCATTACACACGTGACCCAAAATTTCTCACGTTTGTCCAAAGAGCTTCAGCGCCAGCTAGGGTCCAGAGTTATGACCTTGAATGGGCTTAAATTTAATAATATTGTAAAAATAAATTCCCCATTAAAAAATTATAAACCCTGTCCCAATAACAAAACTAATAATCATATCTACATGAAATTTTGTTGGATCTGTGTCTCAGGACAAGCCGGTCCTCACCCGGACTGCACTGTAGTGCAATATATGGAAGGATATGTAAAAAACGAACAGTATTCAATCTCAACATCCATTAAATTCATGTAAATTTTAACGATAGAAGGTTATAACTACATATACTTACGATTACAAGTTTTTCCCTGCCTGTCTTTTATCCAAATACTAGGCCCAAAAGCGGTGTGTTGACCGATAAATCTTACTCGAATATTGCAATTAAAGACACGGACTCCCTGCAACTTCTCCGTCATCAGCACCTTTACGCACTGGGTGCTTGTGGAACAGTCTGCTATGTTCCCCTCTCCCTTACTCCAGCATAACGTTTAATTACAACCTCGTATGTTAAGGGGCAGTAATAAAATCATTAGGAAAGAAAATTTTGGTCCTGCTTCCATCTTGATCGAAATTCTCTCCAAAAATGGCGAAATGTTAACTTTGTGGCGCGAAAATCGCACGTGCTGACCCAATCACCTCATGAGTTCACTTGTGACCTGTCTATATACCCCATTGTTTATTTTTGTAACTTAGGGGAAAAGGGGGGGGGGGTCAAAAATATTAACCTGTAAGTTTACATAAAGTGATTCATCAAACAGTACAAGTTGGAATAATATAATTAGAAAAAAGAATAAAAAATAGATGGATATCTTAAACTTTTTTTTAAATTTAATATTTGGATATGTAATTTGCTCGGAGCACAGTCTTTCTAAACAGATTCATTCAAAGACCTAAATTTGAAATTTTTATCTTATGATGACCTTTTCATATACCCAATTACACTTAATTTCTGGATACTTACAAAATATTAAACGGATTATAGATATATATGAAAGGTCAAAATTCACGTGATAGTCCAGGCGCTTATTTCAAATTACGTTGAACTTAGATTTTCTGTGTGAAATTCCTTATTTGGTAAGATATAAGTTCATCCGATGGTCCAGATGCCCATTTTCGAAAGATGTGTTTAATGAACTGACCTTTTTGTGCAAAATTCCTTATTTGGAATTCTACATGAGTTCTGAATTTACTTATTACATATAAATATGAGCTGATATTCCCTTCTCATCACAACTTTCCAAACACAGTCTTGAGTGAAGTACATAAACAACTTAAGTTTGACATTAGAGAAGATGGCGGAAGAATTTCTTAAAATATAAGTTTTTTTCATATTAGATAAATGCAATACAAATGTTAATAGAATTTAGTTCTACTTTTCCTATATGTTTCGGTTATATATATTCGTAATTGCATACATTCTACTGTTTCAATAAAATACACGTAGATGTGGGGGTGAAGCTGTTAAACGGAGGCTGGGACTGTTTGTAAGCTCCATTACTCCGTCTTAGAAAATACTCTGCGGGGTATAACTTGACAGATTGTATATATATATATCAATGCAGATTAATTGTAATTTACAAAATATTTTAATCTGATTTTAATTCTACAGGTGTAACTCTACCTCCAAAAGAACGTTCAGTGATTTTGAGACGGAATGGGTGTTGCTGGGAGAGGAATGGTCAATTTTACCAATGTAAGACAAAGTGTAGGCTCTCTCTCTCTTTCTCTCTCATATATTATTATGTGTGATTATTTAGTATGCGCAGCGGAGTCTTTTAACCTTATTGGTTTTTTAGAAATATATTTTATATAGGCTTAACTATTCCTCATTCGACCCGTATTTTGCGTTGACTGGAGATGAGGGCATAGAAGAGCCTCAAATACCGGTCTTGGAAAAGGAAAAGGAAAGGGGACGTTCAAAACGAAAACTGGGTGAAACAGAGGAATCAATTTTGTTAACATTAGGTAAGCCCTGGATAGGTAAAAAGAAGGGGGGGGGGTGAACTTGTATGTGAATTCATGATTAAAGAATACAACATGAACAACTAAAGTTACCTTTTGGTAATTGAAATAAAAAAAGAGACCCAATTTCTATACATATTATTTGCTTTTAAGAAGTTTTAAATAATTTCTGAATTTTTTTTTATTATTATTATTTTTTTTTGGGGGGGTGGAGGGTTACATGACAATCACGCGCCTGTTAGACCACTTTAGACTGACAATTAGAAACATCATCCTCTCATTCTATAAAATTCAACATGCAGTATGAAGAGGTGTTCATTATAAATAAAATTATTTTTTAACTCCGTACACTTAGATCATAATATTCTTGACATTTCTATTACAAACATAATATGATTTTAATTATGTACGTAATTAAACAAAATCTCATACCACATGAAATTTTCGAATGCATATAAACATAATTTAATTGCATACAAAAAAAAAATTATTGGCACCATGGGTTTTTTTTCTTTACAGGAATAAGGATAAATGTAAAACTCCGGAAAGTAAACCCTTCTCTCAAGAGCGGACTACAACTAAGACAAAACAACAGACTAGTGCCCCCAATGCAAAGGTGTCCCCTCTTACCTCAAAAGAACAAGCCAGGGTCTCTCCAACCCTGAGTGAAAAGAGAAACCATGAGAGCAGATTTCTTGAGACTTTTCGGTCATTATATCTTTGTTTCTGTTTATAAATCATTCAAAGTATGATAAAGGGAAAGTAAACTTTTCATATGAGTCATAATGAAAAAAAAATTCAAAAGATGTGTATTAAATTACAAATATAATTTTTTTAAATTGATTTATCGCTCTTTAAAGACACACATTATTTCTATTTTGTAGAAGACAGAACTTCTAAAATTCCTTGCGTTGGAGTAAAAGATGAGGACACCAAGCACCCCTGAGAAAAACCCTTTATTACATGAGGAATTTACTGCGCTGAATGAGCTGATTGAGTGTATCCAATCAGACTTAGCACAGACAATGTATTTGGTGAATTACATCTCAGACTATGTGAAAAAAAATTGTAAGCGCAGAGTTTCTTTTAAAATGTTGTGAAAAATTTAGACTGGATGATACTGGCACTCAAAATTGCAATATTTTATTAACTAATTGTTGGTTCACAATGTTTCGTGAAAATTATTTTATACGTGTATGAATGAATTGAAATTGCTAAATCAAACATATTTTTAAAAAGTCTAAGCTGCATTGAATGAGCTGATTGAGTGTATCAGACAATGTATTTGGTGAATTTCATCACAGACTATGTAAAAAATGCAAGAAAAGAGTTTCTTTTAAAATGTTGCGAAAAATATAGACTGGATGATATCGGCATTTAAAATTGGAATGTTCATACTTTTTTCTTGAAAATTGTTTTATACTTGTACGAATGTACTGAAATTGGTATAATATCATTGTCATTTTGACAGTAACAAAATCAAACATATTAAAACATTATTATTCTATTCAAGTGTCTTCTTTTTAGTTTACGAATGTCATGAGGAATTTATTGTCCAATACTCATATAAAGATTTTAAACCAAGTCAGAAGATAATAGTAAAAGGCAGAAAAACATTTTTTTTTATTTATATATACTTACTGTTATACTTACTTAAATATTTATACTTACTGTTATACTTACTTACTTACTTATTTATATTTATTCTTACTGTTTTACATTCACTGTGTGGTATATTGTCAGTATAAGTGACTTCTGTGTTAATTTTACAAATTGAGTATCCTTTTATAGCATTGGATTTAAGAAATAACAATGATCTCAGATTTTAACTTCATCATGACTTAATTTGACCTTTCCTGACCATGAAAACGTGACCTTCACCTCTTAATCTTCATTTTCACCTCAATAAGCAACTCTCATTTTTGATCCAATTTCAACCTATGACCTTCAATTGGATCTTATTTTAACCTTCATCTGAACTTTGTGACTCTCTTCTTGAATTAATTCTGATCTGTGACCTTTTTTTCATTCTTGAATAAAAGATGTTCATAGGATATGCCAATCACCTTGATGTGACATTTCATTTCACCCTATTTTGACATAATGTAGTTGACTCTAAAAGCATTACCTCATATGACCCAGAAGAAAGAGTGTGACCTTGGACAACTACAAAAATGTATGTGACCTTATACAGACCCATAGAAGGGTGACCCTAGAGGGACCCACTGGTGAAGTGACCTCATGTTAATGAGTGACCCCAACAGACCTTGGGAGTTGTGTCCCTAAATGACCCCTGACCCTAAACGGACCCATGACGTCATTGACTCCAAACTGACCCCAGACTACTACCCTTACTGCTTATGAGTCTGCTTAAAGTTTCACCATCTATTGAATTCAATAATCTCTTTAACAAATAATTTAATAGCCTCCTCAAAATACCATAAATAATTTCCCTTTTACACAAATTTCTTCCCAAAACAATATCAGAACTCAGAAATAGTCTGATTCAGAGATTTACCCTGAATATATGACTTTAAAATCAAATTATTTTGCTAATTAGATAAATTAATATGATCAGGTTCCCAAATTATGGAAATATGTGACCAATGTAATTTCAATAAAATAGTTCAAAACAATAATAAAAACTTCTAACACATTTGAATTCTTTCAAAAATATATAAAATACATCTCTCTAAATTGTAGAATATACAGGTCTACATTTAAATATGAAAGCAATTACATTAACAAAATGGATACTCATTTCCTCCATGCCTGCCTCCTTCTGAACGGTGTTCTTCTTTCTGGTGTCCTCCTTCTCGGCACATTCTCTCTTCTTCTTACTGGGGCAGGTGTGACAGCCGCGACAGTGCTGGTTCGTTGTGCATCCCTCATCTCTCTTAAATAAGCTGTTTGTTGTTTAATTTACCCCCATCATATGGTGCAACACATCATGTATCATGAAAAGATGGTTATTAATCGTATCTAATTTGGGTACTAAAGCTGATCTCAGTAATGTCTGACTCTGAGGTTTCTTCTCCTTTCTGATCTTCTCTTCCTCTTCACTGGAACTGAAACTAGAACTACTTGAACTGCTGGTGGAATCCGATCTTTTCCTCTTCTTGCCGTCCTTCCTCTTTATCACTACTATTTCGTCTTTCTCACCACTTTCTTCTTTCCTGTTCTCCTCTCTATCCTTCTCGTCTTCCTTCTCTTCATCTTCATCTTTCTTCTCTTCCTCTTTCTTTTCATCTTTCTTCTCCTTCGTCTCATCACTCACCATTATCATCATCTTCCTCATACATCCTTTCCCCTGATGTTTCCTGGACATCCCCATTTACTCCAAGTGTCTCAGCCGTCACCACAGTCCCGATAGGTGTAGCATAACCCAGCAGCTTGTCTAGGAAGTCCAGGTTTGGTTTATAGTCAGGAAAATCATCCAGTGGACCGCTGGCTGCTCCAGTAGGTTTCTCTGCTATACTGGGTTCTGTGGTCATCAGGACTTCATCAGCTGGCCTGATCCAAGTGGCTGCCGAAGGAGGAAGACTAGCCGTGCTGATGTCTGCTCCTGTGGAGGTTATGGTAGTCTTCCTCAGTCTACTCAACCATAAGTCATGGGACTCTTTCCTCCCCATCTTACAGAAGTGACTACCTTCGACCAGGTGAATTGGATCCTTATTCTCATGTAGATAACTCTTTCCTAGATCTGACATTGTTCTTGAGATTTATGTTTTTTGTAAAAATTGTCACTTTTTTGGGATCGGGTTCGGGCTTCAGTATGTTGTTGTAAAAACGTTGTGTATTCGTAAAACCGCATGTTCGGAGATTAAAGTTTTAAAACAAAGGTATCGTTGTTTATCGGCAACAAATGGTAGCAGAGCGTGGTTATGGCAAGTAAACAAGAAGGAAAAAACGTTCCGGCAACCTCGGAAGTACAGAAAATGGAGAAGGACGAAAAAACAATCGATGAAATGAATAGTGAGAAAACGAAAGTAGACGTCGTTGAAGTACCGGAGGCAAAACTGGACCTCGACGACATTAAACGTGAAAAAACAGTCACAGTTTACTCGAGCTAAACACCATTTATTAAATTTACTGGATCAAGATTTACCCAGTCGCAGAGTACTACGCACAGCAAGGCAACAATTGATTTACAGGAACCTGTGATGAATTATTTACTGTGGCTCTCTGCAGAGTATAAATAGGCAAGTGACATGAACAACTTAGCAAAAACAAATCAAGAAACTGATGTTATAGAAGAGACATTTTTAGACTCTCAAGAAAGAGTGCAGGAATATTTAGATTCACCGCGAAGCGAGGCATCAAGTATTAATACAGGCTCTCTAGGAGGCAGCTTTGACATTTTGAATCACGAGAAAATTCAAGTTAGAAAAAGAGCGGAAATAATTCGAAAGGAGGTACAAAAGGTTGAAGAAACTAAAATAGTATAGGAGGAAAAATTCCAAGCGAAGCGAGAACAATTAGAACAGTTTAATGAAACTATTCAAGACAGATACAAAGAACTCGAAGAAATGGAGAATGAAGTACATAGGATGCATGAAGAGAGTGTTGGTTACCATGACACCGACAATCAGGAAACAGATAGTATCATCAATGAAAATATCAATAATGATGAAAATGCATACTCAACATCCTCGACCGGGAAACAAACTAGTAAAAATTCCATCAATCAGCCTTCAATTGGTAATGACAGACCTGTCTACCCTTTATATTTGAAAGGTGTAATTTCAGTAAATTTTTGGTGGAATTCCAGAGGTTAAAGCGTAACAAATCAGCGATTAAAATCAAAACGCTAAAATAAGCACCCCGCTAAATAACGTGCTATACAGTTCTTTATTTTCTTTCAAAACAAGTGAAATTGCACATTACAAAACAAGCTGGCATTTATTTTTTTTTTTAGAATCATCTATTGTTAAAAAAAAGTGTTGTAAAATACCAGTATCCTATATTACCGGTAAACTCAGATCAGTCGTGTACCCTTAATGAAGCATTTGATCATTTTGTATCAAATCACTTAATTGAATTCTTGCGTTTGCATGTTTACTCAAGTCGTACATGATAGCACTGCATTTTGTCATTTTAACACTCTCATTTCTCTATCTTGTTCTAAGCAATGTTGTGCCGTTTCCGTATTGTATACTTTATTTCGATCGGGTTCGATATTCTGTTTATTCTAATTATGGCGGCCATGCGGTTTGCCTCTCGATTTTGTTGTTAAATCTGGCGTAGTTGGCCTCCCTAAGAAGTAAGTTTTGTATTGTTTTACCTGAATTTATATCTAACTTGATCATCTGTATCTAATAGTATTACGCAATATTTTTTATCATGTTTAAATTCTGCAAATACAATGTTTTGTAAAACAGCGCATTTTCAGCATGCGGTAGCCTTATATAGGCCTGTTTAGCTCACATGTTATAGTTACGCATTTAATTTTGTATAATTGCTTACGATTTTGATATTTTGTCAAATTCTTATTATGCTTTTGTAATTTGTAGTTTTTCACCCTCTCACGAGGTTTGTCCAATAAACGGTGCAGTGAAAAATTCTTAATTCCTGGCCATTTGTATGGAGCTTCGCCAGACTAGGAAGATGACAGCACAAGGATCTCACCAGTTTGAGGAAAGTGTTTTTAGCTTTACATCAAAGCTATCCATGATTAAAAGAGACATTGATCGTATTATTTCTGAGTCAGAACATGGTGTAGAGCTCGCACAGAGTCAACAGATTATTGACAGTGTATAGAAACATTTGGAAAATTATGAAGTTCTTAGTAACAGTTATGAAGCATTTTTGAAAGGTCACAGAAGTGTAGAAAGTGCAAATGAACAGTCTTCACACAGACTTATTCGAGCATCTTTACATGCCAAGACTACTGCTTTTATCGAACAGTTACAGTCCGCACTGCCGAAGATGGATATGATATTCATCATATGAACTTACTCTTTATTCTTTTCTTCCACGCAGGTCGTAGCGAGTACTCAGCTGCACCTCTTCGTCCTCCTCCTCATCCGTATCTATCTTTACAGTTTTCACATCCTTCATCTCAATGTCTCGTGCTGGTCTCCTGTATGTTATAATCATGTTTTCGTACTGATTTGGTTTTAACTTGATATAGCAAGTGCAAGATTGTAACATTTCATGAATGCAATTTAAGAGAGAGAGAGAGAGAGAGAAATTACCTCTTTACACGACCTTTCTTCATGGGCAGCCTGCATGTGATTCCCATCTTCCGAAGAAGAAGTCTCACTGCCCACGTCAGCACGATAAGGATGATAAGACATATGCCTGTAACTCCAAGTCCGTACGCTGTGTCTACTGCAATTATTAATTTGAAAAAAAATTAATTACGTGTAAAAACATACATTACTTTTCAATTTGAGTATGAATTCTTAACGAATCGCGATAGTGTTCATTGCATTTCAGACTTGATCAGAAAATATATTAAGTATACTTACTTTAGTGTAATCTCCCTCAGTGTTAATGCATGCATACAATAAGGATATTGGTTGATAATCAGGTTTCATAACAAGAATAATAACTTAAAAATCATATTAGTAGCAAACAAGATGTATATTAGTACAGTACTATTCATACAAATCACGGATCTTGATTCTGTTAAACATTCTTTTTTTTTTACACTCTCACTTGATATGATTAAAGGAAATTTTATTTTGATCATGCATTTATTTATCTGTGGCGTTGTATACTATCGTCTCACCTTCATCATCACATTCCATCTCAATTGAATTATTTACAAGATTAGATTTTTTCGTACGTTTTAGTTTTAAAACACAGACACACATTATAAATAAAAAAAAGGTATAAGGATAGTTATGAATAAATAGTCAAGTTCATTTTTGATACCCTTGTCTGAACTCTCATGGGTACTATGGATCGTGTCCCTCGTTGAAGTGTCCGTAGCGTCGGGCGATATAATGTGGGAGGGGGATGTACTGTTGATCTTCTCGTCACCGTAGGTATTGGGGAACGGAATGTACTCAGGAACATTGTGTCGCTGTGTGTGATGGGGGAGGGGGTAGGTGAGGTGGTCTTAGTCCGTTCGCGCGTCTTAGCGGTGGACGTAAGTAGAGCTGTAATGGCCGATTTATGACTGCTAAGGGAGGGGACAGTGATATGAAAAGTCCCGTTTCCGTGTGTTATGGGGTAGAGAGTGGTTAAATGGGTCGTTCTCCGTCCTTGCGACTTAAGAGGGGACGTGTATGTAATGTCAGGTGTGGTCTGTGGTGTGACGTCGTCGTGTTTACGGATACCGGGGAGCGAAAGAGTAGTCGTCAGAGAAGAGGCGGTGACTTTATCCGTCTCGGACGTACTTACAGCTGTAGAGATAGTAATATAAAGAAACATAAAAGACTCTAACAGTACGTTTAATTAATGTAAAATTCTTAATTGACAAGAACTGTATAACGAAAAATAGTTTCAAAACAATGGAAATAAATGAACACATGACCAGATCTGTAGAAAACATAACCACGTAACATAAAAATAAAAAAAACTTCTACAGATCTGAGACAGTTAAAGGATTTTACTCACGGGTACTCTCCATTGCCATTGGCGATGCAGTTGTCGGATCTGTAAAAATAAACATCCATGAATTATCCACTTAATTATAGAAAAACAAGATTGCACTTTTTTTTTATAATCCCATGCACATTTTAAATGAAAAACTGAAAAACATCCGAGAAAAGTACATGTACCACACTTCACTTTCACTGTTCCCTCTACAAAAACGCTCTTACAAACCATGGTGCGCCACGTGTATACTGCGCAGGGGCTGATGTGCAGAGCTAAACCTGTTTTGGAATAGACCTTGGTCTGTTTTTCCCACGGTTGCATTCGTGGGATTTGACCGAATGATGACCTCTTATTACATAATGAACTGCGTCATTTTCCTTTGTACGAGAATATTTCTCAGGGTATAGAGAAAAAAAAGGGGGTGGGGGGCTCACCTGAACAGAACAGGGTATCTTTTGATTTCATCATTTCTATAAACTTCACATTTTGATCACAAAATCTTTTAAAATTGGAAGCATTCACACAATCTCCTAGAATTAACAGTTGTTCAATGAGTATATCAGTTTTTATGTTGCAGATCCAACATTCCACTTGAACAGTCTTTACCCCGTACACACAGACGGACTCCCCTGTACAAGATGCGTATTCAGGGAAATTATACTGACACTCCTCACAATTATGTACTGTGAGAGAATTCTCTGATATTAAGTATATACAAGCAACAAAAATGGTTAAAACATTCATCTTTTTCCTTGGTGTGAGAAGTTGGATCACACAGAACAAAACGGGTATAATCTGACCAGTACACTGATGACCCTGTCCATATTTATATCTTTAATTACACAGTGAGTGATGACACTGATGGAAATTTACTCTACAACACTTTCTAATCATAATAAAAATGTCTGACCACATTTTTAAAAACGATAAATCACCGTTCAGAACAGATGGTAATGGTAAAAATGACAACATGATGATTTCCTTGTTAAAATGTTTCGTTACTAGACTAGCATTTTTTTTCAGTCTTGTTTATTGTATGTACATTAATTTAGAGTCATCTTTAATTAAGACTGATAGAATTGTATAATTTCACACGCAGGGATTTCTTTTTTTTTTTGCTCCTCTTTGATTGACAGGGAGGATGACCAGTACAAATTTT